TATCGCTGAACAACTTATAAGTAATCGTAATTTTTCTGTTCTTTTTATAGATACAAATATTTAAGTAAACGCTCTGTTTATAATAAACAGTATTAACGACATTTACCGGCCTGAATGTCCAAGAAATTGTCATAGAAAATATGCATCCTCTGACAGGAATCGAACCTGTATCCTATACGGAACTGTCACATAGCCTGACGTGCTTTACCGATTTCGCCACAGAAAATGGTTGATATCATAGAAAATATGCGTTCTCCGACAGGTAAATGTCGTTAATACTGTTTATTATAAACTTAAATATTTTTATCTATAAAAAGAACATATAAAAACGTCTTAATATAAAATATCTTATATATATATATATATATATATATATATATATATATATATATATATATATATATATATATATATATAGTATATATATATATACATATATATAATATAAATATAAAATATAGTGTATATATATATACATATATATATATAACGTATATATATATATATATATATATATATATATATTAATGAAAAACAGACCACTTTTAAGGTACCATTACAATAATTTATTTCACCAAAATCCTTTTAAAGGACTCCGGATCATCAGGTAAATTCCAAATTACCAAGTTCTTCGTAACTTAAATATATATACATATATTTAACTTAGTATATATATTTTCCCAAATATATATATATATACACACACACACATATATATATATATATATATATATATATATATATATATATATATATATATATATATCCTAAGATGAGATATTATGTACACTATTTACATTGTTCGGACTATCATCCTCATCTTTTTGCCATATTTATCACAACGTTTCGACAGTTGTACACTCCGCCTTTCTTCATGTGTCTGGAATGTCGAACTGAACCCTTTATTTCGCTCGCTGGGGTAGACTGTTCTAGTGCCATGTCTAATGGATGTCAGTTATCAGTTATCTCCTGTTAATTCCCCTCTCCAACTTCTCCACTGCCTTAACCAGGTATTGAACTCTGCCACTGGATGTAACCAACGCCTTTATCCAATATGCCATGTGCCCTTAAGGACATCTGTTTATGAATTTCTGGGACTTATAAACTTAATGTCTTCAGCAAACATTTTTACCAGAGCTCATATTGCAATTTTTGCTGTTATCATTGTATTTTTTTTACTAGAGCTCATATTGCAATTTTCGTTGTTGTTATTGCTTTTCTCTGGCACTCCTTATTACTTTTTATTCATGTATCATCTCAAGAAGGTGATGTATGTATACAATAAGTAATTCTATGTATTTTATTCTGTAAATTCTCTGATAACAGTTTCTTTTCTCACACTTCTTGCTTGTGGAAATCCCTTTCAGATCCATGCTTTTCAGCCATGAATACAACATGAAAATGCCTTGATAAAATCACACAGAGGACGAAACGCGTCGGCTAAGATGATTTTCTCTTTTGCCTTTCTTCACATTGTCCTTTTACATATATACTCTATTTGAAATGTTTATATATATATATATATATATATATATATATATATATATATATATATATATATATATTATTTATTTAAAATATGATTCCAACACGCTACATAAGAGGTCTCATGTTTCAAAACAAAAGCCTAAAACTTCAATATAATTATTTGAATTAAATTGAATTAAAGTAAGCTCTGTTCCATCTTCAAGCGAAATTTTTTGGGGAATAACTTATTTCTAAAATTTACGTGTTTTAATAACATATTCATAATTGAAATCAAAATTTCCATGGTAACAGCCAGGGCGATTGTTTAAATAGGGAGGTGTGTTGGGTAAACTGGAATAAGCCTAAGGAGTCAGGCAAACCTACCTACGCTTCAGCTAAACGGATCTTCAGGGTAAAGCCGGCCTACTTAGCGTATTGAACACTCTATATCGTTATATTTTACTCGTTTTGGAGGGGTGTTTTTTTCATTGGACTTGGCGCTAAACAATTGACGATTGTTTCGCCTTGTTTTAATTTTCTTGTTTCTTTCTTTTTTTATTTCCAATTTTTCTTCGAGTACCGATTTGTTCTACTGGAAGTTGAGCTATCCGAAGTTTTTCCAAACAGAGTACTACCATATATATTTAAGCGCTTATATATATATATATATATATATATATATATATATATATAATAAGAAATGGACAAAGTCCGACAATTTATTTATTAAAGACATTTTTATGTTTAACGTGCTTTTTTATAGATACAAGTATTTAAGTAAATGCTCTGTTTTATAATAAACAGTATTAAATAACATTTACCGGCCTGAATGTCCGAGAAATTTTCATAGAAAATATTCGAACCTGCATCCTATACGGAACCATCATTTACGCTGACGTGCCTAACCTCTTGGCCACGAAGTATCGTTCGGTTGGCAAGGTCAAATTTACTGCTTATAAACTTCAACCTTCTATGAATCTCGTACATTCATAACTGCTCATGGCGTATCAAATGTAAACAAATGACGTCATAGTCTGTCTATATTTCTGAGATGAGGTATTATCTACACTATTTACATTATTCGGACTATTGTCCTCATCTTTGTCGCCATATTTGTCACAACCTTTCGGCCGTTGAACGCTCCAGCCTTCTTCAGGTGGTTGGAATTTCGAACTGAACCCTTTATTTCGATCACTGGGGTAGACTGTTCTAGTTCCACGTGCCATGTTTGATGGATATCAATTATCAGTTATCTCCTGCTAATTTTCCCTCTGAAAGTTCTCCACTGCCTTAACCAGGTATTGAACTCACCTTCTTTGGGTCTGTCACTGGATCTAACCAACGCCTTTATCCACTGTGCCATGTGTCCTTGAGGACATGACGTCATATATTAAGAAATGGACAAAATCCGGCAATTTATTTATTAAAGACATTTTCTATAAAAAGAACGTTAAACATAAAAATCTTCTTTATATATATATATATATATATATATATATATATATATATATATATATATATATATATATATACAAGCGATCACCCCAAGCAAGGCGGGAAGCCACTAACACACAAGGGGTTACAGAGAGTTGGGAGAGCAAATAGGGTGATAGAGGAAAGGATGAAAGAAGGATGGGGGATAGATCCAGGCATCTGGAGACGTCGATTGACATTACATTTGAATAGTTGGAGATTATAGCTATCAGGGAAACGGGAAAAGGGGGAGAGAGTTTCACAGGCGAGAGGTGCGAGACATGAAGCTATTGGAGTAGAAGAGACATTTAACAGTTTTCGACATAATGCGTATTATGTAATCGAAATATACCAGGGAATTATGTATTTTTTTATTTTCCAAGTCAGCTTTCATTGTGTTACATTTATCCCCCAAATATATACAAATACTTTCTCTTTTTTTAATCAAATATGCATCATATTTCATTGACGCTTCAACACTCTTTCTCTCTTTATGATATGGAGGCTGGCTTATTCAACGTCAGTCTCCATATCATAAAATACTAACCAGAGTCGCTTTCAAAGTTTTCAGTGTGTCAATTTATCCCTCACTCATGTATACAAATAATTTCTGTTTTTTTTTAATCAAATTTGCCTCATATTTCATTGACGTTCTCATCTCTCTCTCTTTGCACACGTGCCATTTTTTTTTTTTTTTATTCTTTTGCTGTGCCCTGTGTATCTAGCTTGCAATACAACGGATTCTTATCGAATCTTTCCGGGTAACTCAGTCCATCGTATATTTGAAGTCTTATTTGTTTCCTATCTTTTTTCGTTGTTTTTAGTTTGTTTTGTTTTCCTTCCCCCTATATCTCTTTTCCTTCTTTTTAAACATCTTCTTCTTTTTTTTTCTCGTCTGTTTCTTTCATTCTCTTTTTTTTCATTCTTCTGCTCTTTTCTTCCTTTACACTTACTCGTTTGCATTCACCATTCTTTTCCTCTACTTTTTACCTTCTTCGTTTCTTTCTAATCTTCTTTTTCAATTCCCTTTCCTTCATCAACTCTTTGTCGTGTTCTTTCGTACCTTCTTTTCTCCGTTCCCCAACTTCTTCTTCTTCTTCTTCTTCTTCTTCTTCTTCTTCTTCTTCTTCTTCTTAGGGTTCTTCAGATTCTTGTACTTCATTTTCTTCTTCTTCAGGTTCTTATTCAAATTCTTTTTCTTCAAATTTTCTTATACTTCTTCAAATTCTTCATGTTCCTCCGCCTCTTCTAGTTCTTCTTCTTCCAAATTCTTATTCAAATTCTTCTTCTTCAATTTTTTCTTCCTGTTCTTCTTCTTCTTCTTCTTCTTCTTCTTCAAATCCTGCCTCTTCTTCAGATTCTTCTACTTCTTCTAATTCTTCTTATTAATCAAATTCTTCTTCTGCAATTTTTCTTCCTTATCTTCTTCTTCTTCTTCTTCTTCTTCTTCATCAGATTCTTCTTGAATTTAGTCTTATTCAAATACTACTACTTCGAAATTCTTCAAATATTTCCTTCAAATTTTTCAAATTCTTTTTTTTTTCACACTTTTCTTCTCCAATATCTGTTCCCAAACTGTTTTCTATTTTTCATTTATTCCTTATTTTCTTTCGCTCTTCTTCTTCGGGTTCTTCAGATTCTTGTACTTCTTCTTTCAAATTAATCTTCAATTTCCTCTTCAGATTCTTATTCAAATTCTTCTTCTTCAAATTTTCATCCTGTTCTTCAAATTCTTCTTCTTCTTCCTGTTCTTCAAATCCTTCCTCTTCTTCAGATTCTTCTCCTAATTCTTCAAATTCTTATTATTATTCAAATTCTTCTTCTTCCTCTTCTTCTTCTCATTCTTCTTCTTCCTCTTCAGATTCTTCAAATTCTTCAGATTCTTCTATTTCTTCTTAAAATTTTTAAAATTCATCTTCTGCTTCCTCAGATTCTTCTTAAATTTAGTTTTATTCCATACTTCTACTTCTTCCAAATTCTTCATATATTTCTTTAAAATTTTTAAAATTCTTCTTCTTCTTAAATTACACCCGATTTCTCTCACTTTTCTTCTCCAATATATGTTCTCAAACTGTTCTCTATTTTTAATTTTTTCCTTATTTTCTTTCGCTTCTTGTTGTTGTTGTTGTTGTTGTTGTTCTTCTTCTTCTTCTTCTTCTTCTTCTTCTTCTTCTTCTTCTTCTTCTTCACATCCTTTCTCTCCCTATTTTTCCACCTTCGTTTTCTCATCTTTTCCTTTTCCTCACAATTTCTCTATTCCTTTCCTTTTATCTTTCCTTTCTCCTCTTCATCTTTTTTTTCACAATTAGCCTGCCTTTTCGCAAAAGACTGAAAATAGACAACTGCAAAACGCCTTTGATTTTCTCTTCTTCTTCTTCTTCTTCTTCTTCTTCTTCTTCTTCTTCTTCTTCTTCTTCAACCAATTCTTCGCAACTGACCTTTTTGAGTATCCCCACCCTAGGGACAATTCCGCTCATATTCCTGTTCACAAAGGGCCAACTACTGCTACTTTCAGTCAAGTAGTAAAGATCAAAGTTGCCAATCGGACGCCATTTTGGAGATGACACTAAATTTTACCTCTTGATTCGAGAACAAATCCTAACCGTTAACTGCAAAGACATCGAATCAAAGACATCGGAATTAACGATACATTCTGTATTCTTATGAAATTCACTTATTTATAAGAAGCCAATGTAAGAAAATGTTTCGTTTCCTTTCGAAACAATATGAATAATAGTGGATCAGGTATTAAAGAGGGATGGCGTTATACTATAAACACTAAGACATGAAATAAGCTTCTTCTTTTTCATATTATTACCTAGTTGTGGCCTGTACGGAAAACGAAGGTAAGTTGAACAAGTATATTGAACATACAAATATATACAAAGCAAGGAATTTTTGGTGGATGATATAAGATTTTGAGTATTACAAAGGTATAAAATATTCGGAGGAGTAATTCAGAGAAGGTGGTATATTTAAAAGAAAAAAAAAACAGGGGCTAAACGTGAATAACGGGGTCAAATTCCGACATAAGATATAAATATCTCTACAAACAAGTCATATTTTCGTATTTTTTATACTTTTGAGAAGGGTTATTAACTTTCAAATATTTCTTCAGACGGACATGAATGAAATAAGGAAAGACCAAGTACAACTTTGCCTGTAAATTTAAGAAGTAATCTCAAGATAAATTTTATTTAATACTAAAAAAAGTTTTTATCGGTTTTTGGCACTCTCAAATGTATCAAGCGAGGAAAAGTGACTCAAAATATAATTTACCTATCATTTGCCACAGGAAAGCGAATATAACAACGAAAATTGCAATATGAGACCTGGTAAAAAACATAAAATGAAAACAGCAAAAATTGCAATATAGTAAAAATGGTTGCTGAAGACATTAGCTGTATAATACCCAGAAATTCATACACAGATGTCCTCATGGCACAGTAATGGAGTGGAGTAATGGTGGAGTAATGGATAGCCGCTCGGATTGAGGAATCAGAGAGCCGAGTTCGAATTCCAGTCGAATCCATTACATTCACTTACGTGCTAATACCCTTGGGAAAGGTGTTAATCCTCTTCTTCTACGTCCAGCTATGGGTAAATAGCAGGAGAGACTGGGTTCTATAGCCTTAGATGGCAATCTAGGAGAAGGACAAGTCTGAATTCGAAAACCTGTGGAGGGTTGTTTGGGGACCTTGTGGAACGTAGTACACCAGGTCTTCAAAAAGAGTGGATGGTCCTGCGCGAAGCCTTCACCACTATAATCAAATCTCATGTGCCGGTGTCGGGTTGTCGGTTTCCTGGGGACCGATCTGAAGCGTATACATGCGGGTTTGGGGACCGCTTGTTAATTCCAAATTCCCATGAAACTCCAATATTGGAGCCGGCTCAACCCACCCCGGGTGAATGCCGTTACAAGAACAAGAACATGGCACGGTGGATAAAAGCGTTGGTTAGATCCAGTGACAGGACCCAAGGAGTGTGAATTCAATAGTGGAGAACTTTCAGAGGGGAATTAAGAGGAGATAACTGATAACTGACATCCATTAAACATGGCACGTGGAACTACAACGAGCGAAATAAAGGGTTCAGTTCGACATTCCAACCTGAAGAAGGCCAGAGCGTACAACAGCTGAAACGTTGTAATAAATATGGCAACAAAGATGAGGACAATAGTCCGAATAATGTAAATAGTGTACATAATACCTCATCTCAAAAATATAGACGTATAATTTACCTATCACTATATACTTTTGAATACTTTCTATACAGGTGGAGAGTGAAAAAGTTTTCCACGGGAAGGAAAGTCGGCGATGACGCAAAAAAAGGTTGAAAAAACGCGGCTTAACAGAGAATTCTCGCCAAAGAGCACGGCTTTAACTGACTATATTCATTTCCTTCTGGTAGTGTGTAACACACTAATCTGGGGCCTCCGAGTGATCCCTTGATCAGTCCAGGACTGCTGATCCGTTCTCCTGATCCCGAAGCGAATGTCCAGAGGTTTATTCGTCTGGTTCAGAAATCTTTGCTTTGACACTCTCACATCAATTTCATGAGCCCACTTTTCCGTGCTGTCTGGGGGCAACTTGGAAGAAGGTGTCGTACCCCGACACAAATTTTGGAAAGATTTAAAGATAATTACAATGTTCAGATTAGCCGCTTCCTTATATAGAAATATTCGTCATCCATTGACTGGACAGTTAGCATCAGTGTTGGTTGAAATTCATGAAATCTTTTTTCTCTGAAGACAGGTTTTCAGGAATATTGGTTTCTCCAGTCTTGTAACCCCGTTAATGATCTTTATAAAATTGAGGGAGATTTCCTTCCTATCCATTTCTTTGAAGTACTGTGGAATGTCAACATCTTCATTATCTTCGTATTTTCCTTCATTACATGCGCGATCCATTTTCTTTGTTGCTGCTGTTGAAAATCTTAAAGTGGTTCTGTTATCTGATAAAGTCCTTTGTTTGTGATTCACGAAATTTGACGGTCGTCTCTAAGGCCTACAGGATTCTTCCGCTCAAAACCATGTTTACTCATTGATTTTGGTAAGTGGCGACATACAGCTGACAGATTAGACACTTGAACACCAAACATCACATCTATATGAAAATCTTAATCCGATAAGCCGATTGAAGAAATCTGTATCAACTTCTTAGGATAATGTTTTGGTTGTGTAGCAATTGGTGGTATTGGGCGAAAGCTTTTAGTACACCCTTGTGCAAATTCATCGAAACAACCGCTTTAGCTTCCTTTCTTTCACCATACGGGCAATTTTAAACCCACTGGAGTGACAGGGTGTAATCGATTTCTATTTTTCCCGGATTAGGTCATTTCCAGTGATGTGCAGTAATATGAATCTATTTTCGGGGTGCATGATGTAATTTGTTTGCCCTTGAAAAATATTGCCTCATCCATGAATGTATCAGATTTTTATCACGCCCAAACACTATTTTCTCGACTGTCGATTAGTTGTCCTACAGCAATTGTCTGCGATGGACGTTAATCCAAGGAAGCGTATGAAAAGTGTAACGCTGCACAAACAGACTGGCAAGCCTTACCAGCAAGCAAATAAAAGTACTATAGACTGGCCCGGAAACTCTGCTGATTTGAAACAAATCGAGATTCTGTGGTCAATCTACAAGGAACGCCATCGTGGAATTGACATACAAAGTACTAACATGTGCACTGGGTCATGTTTCATGGGGAAAATACGGAAAAAAGTAAATAATAACGGAATTATTCGTTTGTTTCAATCAATCTGAACAAAGGTGTATTTGGTGTGATATGGAATCATTAGAGGGAATGAAAGTTTGGATGGATTTGTTTCATAAATCCTAGCCATAATATTCCAGGTTCCATAAAGAGCTAGTATTCAAATCATTTCTAATGCATTCCTATAGTAAAATCATTTGCAATGAATTTCTATAGATGCTTTTAGTATTTGCTATATCACTAGATATGGAATCATTAGAGGGAATGAAAGTTTGGATGGATTTGTTTCATAAATCCTAGCCATAATATTCCAGGCTCCATAAAGAGCTAGTATTCAAATCATTTCTAATGCATTCCTATAGTAAAATCATTTGCAATGAATTTCTATAGATTCTTTTAGTATTTGCTATATCACTAGATATGGAATCATTAGAGGGAATGAAAGTTTAGATGGATTTGTTTCATAAATCCTAGCCATAATATTCAGGTTCCATAAAGGGCTAGTATTCAAATCATTTCTAATGCATTCCTATAGTAAAATCATTTGCAATGAATTTCTATATATCCTTTTAGTATTTGCTATATCACTAGATATGGAATCATTATAAGGAATGAAAGTTTGGATGGATTTGTTTCATAAATCCTAGCCATAATATTCAGGTTCCATAAAGAGCTAGTATTCAAACCATTTCTAATAATTCCTATAGTAAAATCATTTGCGAATAATTTCTATAGATGCTTTTTAGTATTTGCTATATCACTAGATATGGAATCATTTAGGGAATGAAATTTTGGATGGATTGGTTTCATAAAGGACCTAGCCATAATATTCAGGTTCCATAAACCTCATCTAATATTCAAATCATTTCTAATGCATTCCTATAGTAAAATCATGAGGCGTGAATTTCTATAGATGCTTTTAATTTTGCTATATCTAGATATGGAATCATTAGAGGGAAATGAAAGTTTGGATGGATTTGTTTCATAAATCCTAGCCATAATATTCAGGTTCCATAAAGGCTAGTATTCAAATCATTTTCTAATGCATTCCTATAGTAAAATCATCTGCAATGAAAATTTCTATAGATACTTTTAAGTATTTGCTATATTACTAGATATGGAATCATTAGAAGGAATGAAAGTTTGGAAATATTTGTTTCATAAATCCTAGCCATAATATTCAGGTTCTATAAAAGCTAGTATTCAAATCATTTCTAATGCATTCCTATAGTAAAATCATCTGCAATGAATTTCTATAGATGTTTTTAGTATTTGCTATATCACTAGATATGGAATCATTATAGGGAAATAGTTTGGATGGATTTGTTTCATAAATCCTAGCCATAATATTTCAGGTTCCATAAAAGGGCTAGTATTCAAATCATTTCTAATGCATCCCTATTGTAAAAATCATTTGCAATGAATTTCTATAGATGCTTTTAGTATTTGCTATATCACTAGATATAGAATCATTAGAGGGAATGAAAGCGATTTTGATGGATTTGTTTCATAAATCCTAGCCATAATATTCAGGTTCCACAAAGAGCTAGTATTCAAATCATTTCTAATGCATCCCTATCGTAAAATCATTTGCAATGAATTTCTATAGATAACTTTTAGTATTTGCTATATCACTAGATATGGAATCATTCGAGGAATGAAAGTTTGGATGGATTTGTTTCATAAATCCTAGCCATAATATTTCAGGTTCCATAAAAAGAGCTAGTATTCAAATCATTTCTAATGCATTCCTATAGTAAAATCATTTGCAATGAATTTCTATAGATGCTTTTAGTATTTGCTATATCACTAGATATGGAATCATTAGGGAATAAAAGTTTGGATGGATTTGTTAGATAAATCCTAGCCATAATATTCAGGTTCCATAAAAAGCTAGTATTAAAAATCATTTCTAATGCATTCCTATAGTAAAATCATTTTGCAATGAATTTCTATAGATGCTTTTTAGTATTTGCTATATCACTAGATATGAAATCATTAGAGGAACAAAAAGTTTGGATGGATTTGTTTCATAAATCCTAGATATGGAATCATAATATTCAGGTTCCATAAAGAGCTAGTATTCAAATCATTTCTAATGCATTCCTATAGTAAAATCATTTGCAATGAATTTCTATAGATGCTTTTTAGTATTTGCTATATCACTAGATATGGAATCATTAGAGGAATGAAAGTTTGGATGGATTTTTTTCATAAATCCTAGCCATAATATTCCAGGTTCCATAAAAGAGCTAGTATTCAAATCATTTCTAATGCATTCCTATAGTAAAATCATTTGCAATGAATTTCTATAGATGCTTTTAGTATTTGCTATATCACTAGATATGAAATCATTAGAGGAATAAAAGTTTGGATGGATTTGTTTCATAAATCCTATCCATAATATTTCAGGTTCCATAAAGAGCTAGTATTCAAATCATTTCTAATGCATTCCTATAGTCAAATCATTTGCAATGAATTTCTATAGATGCTTTTAGTATTTGCTATATCCCTAGATATGGAATCATTAGAGGGAATGAAAGTTTGGATGGATTTGTTTCATAAATCCTAGCCATAATATTCAGGTTCCATAAAGAGCTAGTATTCAAATCATTTCTAATGCATTCTATAGTAAAATCATTTGCAATGAATTTCTATAGATGCTTTTAATATTTGCTATATCACTAGATATGGAATCATTAGAGGAATGAAAGTTTGGATGGATTTGTTTCATAAATCCCTAGCCATAATATTTCAGGTTCCATAAAGAGCTAGTATTCAAATCATTTCTAATGCATTCCTATAGTAAAATCATTTGCAATGAATTTCTATAGATATTTTTAGTATTTGCTATATCACTAGATATGGAATCATTAGAAGGAATGAAAGTTTGGATGGATTTGTTTCATAAATCCTAGCCATAATATTCAGGTTCCATAAAGAGCTAGTATTCAAATCATTTCTAATGCATTCCTATAGTAAAATCATTTGCAATGAATTTCTATAGATGCTTTTAGTATTTGCTATATCACTAGATATGGAATCATTAGAGGAATGAAAGTTTGGATGGATTTGTTTCATAAATCCTAGCCATAATATTTCAGGTTCCATAAAAGCTAGTATTCAAATCATTTCTAATGCATTCCTATAGTAAAATCATTTGCACTATAGTGAATTTCTATAGATGCTTTTAGTATTTGCTATATCACTAGATATGGAATCATTAGAGGGAATGAAAGTTTGGATGGATTTGTTTCATAAATCCTAGCCATAATATTTCAGGTTCCATAAAAGAGCTAGTATTCAAATCATTTTCTAATGCATTCCTATAGTAAAAAAATCATTTTCAATGAATTTCTATAGATGCTTTTAGTATTTGCTATATCACTAGATATGGAATCATTAGAGGGAATGAAAGTTTGGATGGATTTGTTTCATAAATCCTAGCCATAATATTTCAGGTTCCATAAAGAGCTAGTATTCAAATCATTTCTAATGCATTCCTATAGTAAAATCATTTGCAATGAATTTCTATAGATGCTTTTAGTATTTGCTATATCACTAGATATGGAATCATTAGAGGGAATGAAAGTTTGGATGGATTTGTTTCATAAATCCTAGCCATAATATTCAGGTTCCATAAAAAGCTAGTATTCAAATCATTTCTAATGCATTCCTATAGTAAATCATTTGCAATGAATTTCTATAGATGCTTTTAGTATTTGCTATATCACTAGATATGGAATCATTAGAGGAATGAAATGGAATTTGGATGGATTTGTTTCATAAATCCTAGCCATAATATTCAGGTTCCATAAAAAGCTGATATTCAAATCATTTCTAATGCATTCCTATAGTAAAAATCATTTGCACCCAATTTCTATAGATGCTTTTATTTATTGCTATATCACTAGATATGGAATCATTAGAGGGAATGAAAGTTTGGATGGATTTGTTTTCATAAATCCTAGCCATAATATTTCAGGTTCCATAAAGAGCTAGTATTAAATCATTTCTAATGCATTCCTATAGTAAAATCATTTACAATGAATTTCTATAAATGCTTTTAGTATTTGCTATATCACTAGATATGGAATCATTAGAGGAATGAAAGTTTGGATGGATTTGTTTCATAAATCCTAACCATAATATTCAGGTTCCATAAAAAGCTAGTATTCAAATCATTTCTAATGCATTCCTATAGTAAAATCATTTGCAATGAATTTCTATAGATGCTTTTTTAATATTTACTATATCACTAGATATGGAATCATTAGAGGAATGAAAGTTTGGATGGATTTGTTTCATAAATCCTAGCCATAATATTCAGGTTCCATAAAAGAGCTAGTATTCAAATCATTTCTAATGCATTCCTATAGTAAAATCATTTGCAATGAATTTCTATAGATGCTTTTAATATTTGCTATATCCCTAGATATGGAATCATTAGAGGGAATGAAAGTTTGGATGGATTTGTTTCATAAATCCTAGCCATAATATTCCAGGTTCCATAAAGAGCTAGTATTCAAATCATTTCTAATGCGTTCCTATAGTCAAATCATTTGCAATGCATTTCTATAGATGCTTTTAGTATTTGCTATATCACTAGATATGGAATCATTAGAGGGAATGAAAGTTTGGATGGATTTGTTCAGAATTCCCTTCAATTCCCTCCCTATTTGTGGATATTATTTTCATTAATCTTCCTTGTAGGGGACAGTTAGCTTTGAACGGTACTCTTCTGCGGCCTTCCACGAAAGTGAGTCTACTTCTATTAAGAGTTCGTACAATAAATTCACTTTTGACTAACCGATCTTTCGTCCTCTTCTCCTTGCAGTGGTTTTGCTTTAATCCACTCACTCTTGTACTGATCCCCTCCCTTCAAAGTGCTTCTCTCTCTCTCTCTCTCTCTCTCTCTCTCTCTCTCTCTCTCTCTCTCTTATTCGCAATTTCGTTGTATTCCCTCCCTCTTTTTTATCATCTCATCCATTTACTACTTTTTGTTATTTTTTACCTCAGCCAGCTCCCTTCTTCTTTCTTGCTTTCTTTCTTTCTTTCTTTCTTTCTTATTCATACATTACCGAATTGTTCGCATACCTTCTTTATTTACTTAAATAAAGCAAGCAAGAAAGAAGAAAGACATATGAAGGGCGTGAGAAAGATAAACTACTAATATTACTAATTACTAATTATAAATAATAAGTAATTACTATTAGTTACTAATTATTATTTAATTAATTACTAATTACTATTATTACTGAGAATACTAATAAATAGAAACAACTAAACAAATAAACAAAGAGGGAAAGGGAGTAATTATTAATTTATTTAAAAATAAATCAAATGAAGAAAGAAAGAAAGAAAGAAAGATGGAAAGAGAGAGTAAAAAAGAAAGAAAAACAAAGAAAGAAAGTTTGAAAGAGGGATAATAAAAAAATAAAAAAACAAAAAATTAAATAAATAAATCAATAAATAAAAAGAATGAATGAAAGAAAAGATAAAAGAAAGAAAAATTAAAGAATGAAAGAAAGAGCGAAAGGATAAAAGAAAGGTGGAAAGAGAGGGAGAAAGAAAAAAAGAATGGAATAAAGGAAGAATGAAAGGATAAAGAAAGAAAGAAAGAATGAAATAATAAAGAAAGAAAGAAAGAAAGAAAAGAAGAAAGAAAGAAAGGAAGAAAGAAAGAAAGAAAGATGACCGTCAGCAATATTGAAAGCAAGACAAAGGTAAGGAATCAGTCAGCTATTTTTCTTTACTTTTGTGAATGGCTGAGGGAACAATTTTAAATAATGATGGCTATTAAAGGTTCAAAAAGAAAGAGAAAAAGGAAGTCGTGAAGAGCTATGTCTGCCTATGTTTATGAGATGTGGCACATAAAAGAAATCAATTCCCACACCTGGACGCACCACTTAATTTCTGTCATTCTCTCATTTTATTTCTTACTTTCTGTCTTTCATTCATTCGTTATTTCTTTCTTTCACTCTTTTTTTATTTCAACCTTTCTTTCTTTCTTTCCTTCTTTCTTGCATGTTTCTTTCTTTCTCTACCCTTTCATTCTTCCTTTATTTCTTTATCCCATCATTTCATTATTTCTTTCTTTCTCCCTTTCTTTCTTTCTTTCTTTCATTCATGATTCTTTCTTTCTCTACCCTTTCATTCTTCCTTTATTTCTTTATCCCATCATTTCTTTCTTTCTTTCTCTTTCTTTCTTTCTTTCTCTCTTTCTCTCTTACTTTCTTTCTTTCTTTCATGTTTCATTATTCCATCATTTCTTTCTTTCTTTCTTTCTTTCTTTCTTTCATGTTTCTTTCTTTCTTTCTTTCTTTCTTTCATGTTTCTTTCTTTCTCTACCCTTTCATTCTTCCTTTATTTCTTTATCCCATCATTTCTTTCTTTCTTTCTTTCTTTCTTTCTTTCTTTCTTTCTTGTTTCTTCCTTTCTTTCTTTCTTTCTTTCTTTCATCTTTCTTTCTTTCTTACTCTTTCATTATTCCTTTATTTCTTCATCACATCATTTCTTTCTTTCTTTCTTTCTTTCTTTCATGTTTCTTTCTTTCTTTCTTTCTTTAATCTTTCTTTCTTTCTTACTCTTTCATTCTTCCTTTATTTCTTCATCCCATCATTTCTATCTTTCTTTCTTTCTTTCTTTCTTTCTTTCTTTCATGTTTCTTTCTTTCTTTCTTTCTTTCTTTCTTTCATCTTTCTTTCTTTCTTACTCTTTCATTCTTCCTTTATTTCTTCATCCCATCATTTCTTTCTTTCTTTCTTTCTCTCTTTCTTTCTTTCTTTCTTTCTTGTTTCTTTCTTTCTTACTCTTTCATTCTTCCTTTATTTCTTCATCCCATCATGTCTTTCTTTCTTTCTTTCTTTCTTTCATGTTTCTTTCTTTCTCTACCCTTACATTCTACCTTTATTTCTTTATCCCATCATTTCTTTCTTTCTTTCTTTTTTTTTTCTTTCTTTCTTTCTTTCTTTCTTTCTTTCTTTCATGTTTCTTTCTTTCTCTACCCTTTCATTCTTCCTTTATTTCTTTATCCCATCATTTCTTTCTTTCTTTCTTTCTTTCTTTCTTTCTTTCTTTCTTTCTTTCATTCTTTCTTTATTTCATGTTTCTTTATTTATTTACCCTTTCATTCTTCCTTTATTTCTTTATCCCATCATTTCTTTCTTTCTTTCTTTCTCTCTTTCTGTCTTTCTTTCTTTCTTTCTTTCTTTCATGTTTCTTTCTTTATTTACCCTTTTATTCTTCCTTTATTTCTTCCTCCCATCATTTCTTTCTTTCTTTCTCTCTTTCATGTTTCTTTCTTTCTTTCTTTCTTTCTTTCTTTCTTTCTTTCTTTCATCTTTCTTTCTTTCTTACTCTTTCATTCTTCCTTTATTTCTGCATCCCTTCATTTCTTTCTTTCTTTCTTTCTTTCTTTCATCTTTCTTTCATCTTTCTTTCTTTCTTTCTTTCTTTCTTTCTTTCTTTCTTTCTTTCTTTCTTTCTTTCTTACTCTTTCATTCTTCCTTTATTTTTTCATCCCATCATTTCTTTCTTTCTTTCTTTCTTTCTTTCTTTCTTTCTTTCATGTTTCTTTCTTTTTTTCTTTCTTTCTTTCATGTTTCTTTCTTTCTTTCTTTCTTTCTTTCTTTCATCTTTCTTTCTTTCTTACTCTTTCATTCTTCCTTTATTTCTTCATCCCATCATTTCTATCTTTCTTTCTTTATTTCTTTCTTTCTTTCTTTCTTTCTTTCATGTTTCTTTCTTTCTTTCTTTCTTTCTTTCATCTTTCTTTCTTTCTTACTCTTTCATTCTTCCTTTATTTCTTCATCCCATCATTTCTTTCTTTCTTTCTCTCTTTCTTTCTTTCTTTCTTTCTTTCTTGTTTCTTTCTTTCTTACTCTTTCATTCTTCCTTTATTTCTTCATCCCATCATGTCTTTCTTTCTTTCTTTCTTTCTTTCTTTCATGTTTCTTTCTTTCTCTACCCTTTCATTATACCTTTATTTCTTTATCCCATCATTTCTTTCTTTCTTTCTTTCTTTCTTTCTTTCTTTCTTTCTTTCTTTCATGTTTCTTTCTTTCTCTACCCTTTCATTCTTCCTTTATTTCTTTATCCCATCATTTCTTTCTTTCTTTCTTTCTCTCTTTCTGTCTTTCTTTCTTTCTTTCTTTCATGTTTCTTTCTTTATTTACCCTTTTATCCTTCCTTTATTTCTTCCTCCCATCATTTCTTTCTTTCTTTCTTTCTCTCTTTCTTTTTTTCTTTTCTTTCTTTTTTTTTTTTCTTTCTTTCTTTTCATCTTTCTTTCTTTCTTACTCTTTCATTCTTCCTTTATTTCTGCATCCCTTCATTTCTTTCTTTCTTTCTTTCTTTCTTTCTTTCTTTCATCTTTCTTTCATCTTTCTTTCTTTCTTTCTTTCTTTCATCTTTCTTTCTTTCTTACTCTTTCATTCTTCTTTTATTTCTTCATCCCATCATTTCTTTCTTTCTTTCTTTCTTTCATGTTTCTTTCTTTTTTTCTTTCTTTCTTTCATCTTTCTTTCTTTCTTACTCTTTCATACTTCCTTTATTTCTTCATCCCATCATTTCTTTCTTTCTTTCTTTCTTTCTTTCTTTCTTTCTTTCTTTCATGTTTCTTTCTTTCTCTACCTTTCCATTCTTCCTTTATTTCTTTATCCCATCATTTCTTTCTTTCTTTCTTTCTTTCTTTCTTTCTTTCATGTTTCTTTCTTTCTCTACCCTTTCATTCTTCCTTTATTTCTTTATCCCATCATTTCTTTCTTTCTTTCTTTCTTTCTTTCTTTCTTTCTTTCTTTCTTTCATGTTTCTTTCTTTATTTACCCTTTTATTCTTCCTT